GCGTCTGTTTTCTTGTGATTGAATTTTTTGTATTTTCAAATTTTTGCTTCGCTTAGCCTCTGGGTACAAATTTGGTTTCAGTGGGTAAAGTTTGAACTCCCGTTCTAATTAGAGCAATCGTTTGAAATATCCAAGCAAAAATTTGAAATTCCCGATGACCATAATACCAGATAGTAAAATCGTTGAAGCATTCGTCTCGATTGGCGAAGGATCAGAAAATGAATTTTGAAGTCGCCGAAAACACAAACCATTGTGTACTGGGTAACCGATATGGAAGGGGAAGGGTGGATAATTGGCTTGCATCACTTAGTAATTATGTTGACTCATAATTGGCGTGGGTCACTTAATTTTTGTAGGCTCAAAGTTTTACTCATTCAGTTTTTCCCAGTAGCGTTGTCGGGCATATTTTTGCTTGCGTATGCAAAGTGCAATTTCGCGTCTGTGTGTATGTATTGTTTTTGTAATTGAAAGCGTTTTTTTTTAATTTTGATTTTATCTGTAATCCATACACCTGCGAGAGCAAGTGTCTTGTAGTCGGTAATTAAACTTTTTCACGTAAACAACTTTTGTTACGTGTTCGTAATTGAAATTGATGCTGCTTTTTATCTAACCTTAGCAACTTCCAGACCCCATTGGTCTGCAGATAATGCAGTTGCATTTGAAATCGAATGTCAGGAGTTCGAGTCCCGGCCGGGCCTTATATTTTTGGCTGAAATTGAATTTTTTCTTGGAAAATTTGATCAGTCAGATCATAGTTTGTTGACTTATGTTCTGTCGGCTTAGTTGCCTCCTCACAATTTGTTTGTTCTGTAAACAGCTTCTTTTGTAGTCTCAAGTGGCCTTGATTAACTATAGTTTTTATAATTACTAATCTGGTATATTTTCCGTTTTTTTTTCGCTTAGAAATTTTATTCGGCTTGAATGATTTCGGCTCTTCTTTTATCGATCTAGTGATCTTATTTTGCATCCGTATTAAGATAAAAAATTATCATTCTTGTTTTAAATAAATCAGCTCGGCTTGTAGACTAAAAGTTAAAAGGTGAACTTTTTTAAATGCTCAACTTTTTTATGACAACAATATGTTATGACATATTTGTTTTCGGATTAGTTGGCACATTACCACGGGTTATCGACTTAGTGAGCGCTTGAAAAACACTAGAAGCTTGTTTAACGCTACCGACTGCGTTTTTTGCGTGTTTTAAAAAATAATAATTTTTTATGACACCTTTTTCCTTTGATTTGTTGGCCCGAATCCGTTGGCGTCTAACCACGTGTTGTCTTTTTGGACCCTCAAAAATACTAAAAGCTTGCTTAATGCTAGTTCATGTGTTTCTTGTCAGTTTTTCTGATATTGAATTTTTCGTTTTGCAAAAAAAAATTAGTTGATTTTTATTGACAATTTTGTTCGGCAGTTTTGTTTTTGGATTGATTGGCGGCTAACTACGTGTTGTTAGCTTAGTCGACGCTCGGTAAATACTAAACGCTTGATTATTGCTAGTGGTTGTGTTTCGCGTCTGTTTTCTTGTGATTGAATTTTTTGTATTTTCAAATTTTTGCTTCGCTTAGCCTCTGGGTACAAATTTGGTTTCAGCGGGTAAAGTTTGAACTCCCGTTCTAATTAGAGCAATCGTTTGAAATATCCAAGCAAAAATTTGAAATTCCCGATGACCATAATACCAGATAGTAAAATCGTTGAAGCATTCGTCTCGATTGGCGAAGGATCAGAAAATGAATTTTGAAGTCGACGAAAACACAAACCGTTGTGTACTGGGTAACTGATATGGGAGGGGAAGGGTAGGAAGGGAGAGTTCAAATCATTAATTGTTAATCATAGAAATGATTTGTCGCTATTGAGTTCATCCGTTTTTTTCCAGAAAATTAGATACTCGGTTTTTGTGTTTGTTCGTTGCTTGACTTCTGATATTTTTAGGCTTGCGATCAACAAGCGTTAAAAAATTGGATGTACTTCTTTCAGGTCAACAGCTGTTGAAAAAATCAGTTAAATCATTTGATTGCCTCAGAGTTCTTAGCTTCTCCAGTGCTCTTGGTCTTGAGTTAACGACTGCACCTGGGACGGCGAAGGGATAAATTTCGAATCTAGTAAGGACCTGTTTTTTTTTCTATTTGTCGGCTTATTTGATTTGTCGGCCTATCAAAAAATTGTCGGCCTACTGTTCGCTATGTTTTTTTGGCCGATATGCCACAATACGGCTTTTCTTGCATGTAAATGATTTATATTGGCCTATCATATTTGCCTATCATTTTCTTGCATGTAAGTGATTTATATTGGCCTGTTTTTGATTAATTGCTGTAATTTGTAAAATCACTGCCCGTCAAGGAATTAAAAAAAGTATTTTTTAATTCCTTGTTTTTCAAATTCCTTGCTTCGCTTTTCTTATATTAGGCCTCAACTTTGTTTGGCCTAAATTATTTCGGCGTACCGTATGAGGGAACGTTTTTTTTGTCCGTTTGTGATTTTCTGGGGTAGGGTCGGCGTAAAAATGTAAGAATTTCAGAATTTGAGCGATAACTTTTTGTTTTTCGGCTCAACGGTATTTGACCCAACTTTTGCCGGCTGAGTTCCCGCTCGATAGACAGTTACCTCTATGATGGTTTTAAATAGGAGTGTGGAAAATCCTACAAAAATTCAACCGACTGCCAATAATATGGCAAAATTTTGCCGACCGCTTAACAAATCGAATTGAAGGTCAAGCGAGTCAAAGCTTCAAGGCATTTTAGTTTGTTTTTGTTTGAGGTTATGATCTTTGGCCTTTATTAATTGAAACTTTTTCTTCCGTTGAAAATTTATTTAGCGGAACAATAATTTTTTAAATATTTTTAAAAAGAAAGTTCGCTGATTTGAAAAAAAGTCACGCTGTTGTGCGCGCCAGCGTTTGACTACATTGGTTGTACAAGTAAAAATTAAAGCAGTTTTATCTTGGTGATTTTTTTATATTCCATATTGAAGCCAGTTCTATCGTTATTCGTTCCTTTAAATCTTTCGTTTAGCAAGGGTATTTGAGCCGGGTGCTAGACTTTTTATCCGTAAACAACTTCATTCACAGAATTCGCACGTGAAAATTGTACACATATTTTACTTGCTTTATTTTATATTCAATTCAATCAATCATCCGGCGCATCTGACCTAGAGGTAACTCAACTGTTTGAGACGGTACGGACTTCGCATATGAGAGATTACCTTTTTTTAAAATTCAATTTCAATAACTTAACGTAGTCTGGAGGTAAAGCCCATGCTTGCCACAATAAACGTCCTGGGTTCATTTCGTTCAAGAGCCGATTTTCTTCTCCAATTAAACGTTTTTTTAAAGTTCAATTTTCGGACGGACCACAGTTAGTCTGATAATATTGTTCATGTTGCATGGATTTTTCTCTATAAACAATTGTTTCCAAGAGCTGAATTTCACTTCGGTTTTTCTACTGTATTTTTTAAGTTTACTCTATTTTGTAAGTCTATGATTTTGTATATATATTTTTTTGCTTTCAAAGTTTCTTTGGCTTGAATGGTTTCGTCTTTTTTAGATCGGTTTAGTTGTTTTGCACCTAAAAAAACTTGATAATTTTTGGCTAGCCAAGCTTAGCTACCGCAGGATAGTTTTAGCCCTGGAGCTTGTGTTTCTAGCCCTTTCTCGGAAAAAACTTCAAAAACTTTAAATTTTTTGTACTTTTCCTTAAGTGCTGCTTTAAAATGCTACCTTTATCGTCTATCTCTCTCACCTCTCCTCTTAAATGAAACTTTAAAAGAACCACAATTGTTTTTGAAAGTGTTTTCGATTTATTTTATACAATAACGAACATGGCCGTGACTTTATGTGCTACGTGCACCGTCACCAATTTTTTTTAAATTAGCTCTTGGGCTGCTTTTAAAGCTCCTTCTATTATGAATCTGAAGCAAAAACAAAGGTTAGCAAGCAATCCCAGGTTAAAATATTCAATTTCAACTTGAAATATGTAAGTACATATACAGCTGATGAGTCTTCGTTGTTTAAATGTTACCTTTGAGTCAGGTTTTATTGAGATTTGCTACGGTTATATGATTGATACACTTTTGATAGCTCTCGCATTTTTTGTGCTCTTTACATGATATTTGCTTTTTTTAATTCAATTCATTTTGATGCGAACCATATCTGCTTTCATTTGGGTAGTCAAACATTCATTTTTTGGTACCAATCTTTGGGCACTGCACTGAGCACGTTCTTCTTATGAACTAGTATCACTAATTGGAACAGAATTTCCTTTGCAATCCTCGATTTCATTTCCACGCTGTTTATATGCGGAAAATGGAACCATTCTTGCTTTTTTTTGCATTTCAAATTGCTGTTTTTTGTTTTTCACAGCATATAGGTGTTAATCTACTGTGAAAAGAGCTTTCTTTTTTATACAAAATTTGGAAGCTGAGATTTCATTTCAGTTTGATTTCCTTCTTTTTTGGTTCGTGCTCATTTGAAACTGAATGATATTGAAATCCGCAGCTTGATTTCTAAATTTTTTCAAAAGAAAAATAGTGTTTCTATACTACATATGGTAATCTGCGACTGGGATAGTGATTGAACCCTTTATCAACCTCTGGTTAGTTTTCAGTGTAGCCTTCCGTTCGTTAAAACTTAGTTTTTGCACAGTTTTGATTCCCGTAGATTAACTGAAAGTTTAATGTAATTCATTTTTTTTGTGGGGGGGGGGGGGGGGGGAGGGGGGCTGAGTACTTGTGAGGACCTAAAGCTTAATATCTGTCTACTTTGTCTTTGTTGGTGAAAAAAATTTAATCGATGCAGAAAAAATATTGTGGAAACCGAATAAAATAGTGGCTTGGGAAATTAATGAACATATGCTAAATAAGCGTTCGTTTGGAGTTGATTTTTTTAAAATCTTTTCAAATCAAAATTCCGTGCGTCAATTATCAAATTTGATTTAAAAAAAACATTGCCAACTGCCTATAATATAATCATCAATATTATTGTTTGTCGTTTGTCTAAACGTGTTCTGATCAAACTAACGCACATTTTCTTTCCTTACAATACAATTCTATTTTGTTACTTTTAGCTGAAGGAACGCACGCTTTGTTGAGTGGCTTTACTTCAACAATTTCCCAAGATATTTAATTCAACACTTTCACGGCAGGGAACTCCTTTTTATACGACTGTAGTTGTATCAAATGTCTTAAATAAGTATTCAAAATCATTTTGATTCCGACACCACGTGCTTTTTCTGATGTAATTATTCTGCGAGACTGGTTCATTTTATATTTTCTAATAGTCGGAATGTTTTATAAAGCCTTCGTCAATGCTGGTTAATTTGCTGGGAATTTCCGTAGTTGCAATCATGGTAAGTATGTAAAAATTCGGTTCACGTCACGTTTGAATTGAATTAGTTCGTAGCTACCAGGGGCCAAATCCGTTATATAGCCTTTCTTTCTTGTAATTTAACACTGCGGATATTTGATATTCGATAGCTATTTAGCTGATTGCTTATTTATTAGCTCTTGTATCAATCGGCTGCCAGAGTGTGATTTTTTCACCAGAGTCTTTTAACCCCTTGTCTTGAGGTGAGTCTTGCAATTGCTTCTAAATTAACGGAAATTTCTTTGAGCTTTGCAAGGTGCCCTGATCGATTTTCAAACCAGAATGGAAAAAGGCGATCTAGGAAGCTGTCAAATGCATTTGGACAAATAAATCAAATTTAGAAAGGGATCATTTGCGGCAATGTTCTTTAAATTCAATCGGAAAGTCAGGAAGCCGGATTAAATAATAGTAATAGAATCATAAAGGTTTCTTATTTTCTGATTTTTCATTATCCATTCTTGCCCCAGATTTATGAAGTTGTTTGAAGTTATTGCCAGTGTTTATATGATCTTCTAGTCTTTGCAGTATATTGTCTTTCGAGGTGTTAATAAAGGGTCTAGGGCATATCCGATATGTCAAACATCCGAACTTATATAATAATTATGTAATAATTTTACCTTCGAATTTCAGCAGAATAAAGAATTCAATTCGACGATTCTAATTAAGCCATTTCTCGGTGAAAGGTAACCGGTGACGCTCTACGTGTGCGTCGCCGCTTTGCGGTGATAAAGGGCTCTAGTTGGGAAACTCGCAACACGTTGGCGCGACTGCGGTGGTCACTATTAATTCGGTCACTATAGCAGCTTTAAAACGAACGGTAGAAATCGGATCCTTGCCCTACTTTAGAAACCCTAGTAAGGCTCCCTCTCGGATGTTTGCAACAATTTTTGGCTTTTAGGATGTTTGACATATCAGATGTTTGACGGTACCCGTTAATAGACGAATTGATTTTTCATTTTAAAATCGTGTTTGGTTTTTTCAAGAAAAAATCTTGGTTTCGTTAAATCAAAAAGAAACGTCAATCAATAACGAGTCTTGAACTTCAAAGAGCTGTAAAACTCTGTTATTGCAGGAAAGCTTTTGATCTTCTTTGTGAATCGATTAAAAGTTTTTGTATGTACAAAAGTAAAGCATTTTCTATGAAACTTTTTAAAAAACAATTAGTCGTTTTTCCGACTTCCTTAGTTTTTTTTAACCGTTTTCTTACTCCTACATCTACCCGTAGTCTTGCAACTGGGTACTAGATTTTTCCCGTAAATAGTTTTTTTCACAGGCTTTCTGAAATTGTACTTACGTCAGCTTCGCTTTACCCAGCAGGCAAATTTGAGCGTGCTTATCTAATAAAGGCTTTTATTCGTCTTATAAGCAACACAGCTTGTATCTAAATTTCTAGAGGGGAAGGGCACTCAAAACTTTTTCTCATATCTTATTTCTCAAAACCTTTCTCACGAGTCCTGACCCACTTTTCAAGAGTCCTGGGACGACAAATCACACGGGAAATAATCCGTTTTGAAAAAAACTCGGCATTTTGTGTAGAGTATTGAACGTAGTGAAGACTCTTATACAGGTCTTTTTTATTTTTGATTTTTCGCGTGACTTAAGACTTATTTGAAAGTTCAGTTTGTTTTCCTTGTTAAAAGGAAGGTAAACTCCAGTTTGAAGCACCGAAAGTGTAAAGGTCACGAAAAACGTGATCCACTTCTAGTTTCGAAAGTGAGTTTAAATGTTCGGATTTCCTAGCGGAATTAAAAGTTTACTTATTGCACCAGTTTTCTCAAATTGGATTAGTTTTTTAATCAAAAAAGCACCAATCGTAAATTGTGCTTGAAATTCAGAGAGCATATATTTTTCAATGGCCATATATTTTTTCTTTAAAGTTCGAGAGTTGAAGTTTTTTTCAAAAAACAAGTCAGTTTTTGTCTGTTGCCTTGCGTTCCATACACTTTTCCAACTGTCATCTTTGGTCGGCTTAGTTGCCACATCATAGTTGTTTTTTGTTGTTACCATTCTTAATTGTAGGTGTTATGATTTATCCCTGCAATTTGGAATTTTACTAAACTTGACTTCGTATAGCTTCCTTTTTTTCGTTCAAGACTTAATTGGGTCAAGTTATTTTTGGCTTATATTTTATCGGCTTATTGGTGTAGTTGTGGGTCGTTTGAAGATGTGGATCGTACTAAATGCTTAAAATAGAAATTAGCGTCGTGTATTCCGCAAATATACCATCATTGAGGGGGAAGGGGACGCACAACATCTTTTTGATTTTTAAGTTTTTCTAAAACAATTTTTCAACTTAATGAATTGTCATGAATTGTCGACTGTTTTAAGCCCTTTAAGTTTTTATTAATTGCCTATTTAACATGGTCTTAATTCGCATGCGAATTTTTTGTCTGCGGTTTTCATTTTTTTTGTTGGTGAGTTGGTCATGCTATGTGTGTTTTATCGCAAGTGGTGCGAAGCTTCGGTTAGTTTAAACTTGTGTTACGTTCCCAGTTAATTTCCTAGCTTTTTACCACTGGTAGTTTAATAGCGTGCGTTGTATCTGTTGTATTATTAGTGGCTATGGGTTGTATCTCTTTTTATTAGTGGCTAGTGTTTGAAGACTAGTTCTCAAAATGGTTAAGTTTTATCAAAAAAGAGTCAATCATGTTTTGTTCTAGAAATTTAAAGAGCTTTAAGGTCATCTTTTTTTCGAAATTTGTAAGTTGAGATTTCAAAAAAGTCAGTTTTTTTCCTATTTACATGCGTTCATTGACTCTTTTCCAACTCTGGCGGCTGTGCCTATGCTTGGTGATAGTACTAGCTGAATTCTGATTGGCTCAGTTTCAGAATTCAATATTCTTTGATTCTTTTTGATATTTTTTATAAGTTATTTTTCCCAAGGACTCTACACCAACATATTATTTGTTGAGATAAATTTTCTTGTGCTTTTAGTTATGGGTTTCATGCTTGTGCTTTTAGTTATGGGTGTCGAAAAATAGCGAGGTTAAGGACATGAATGCTTTGGGTTATTTATCTGTAGTATCATATGCGGAGGCTTCACGGAAAGTGCAGCTCACTTTTTAAGTTATTGTCGCGTTTGTGTGCGTTCGTATGTATCGGCATTTTATATAGTGAACTTGAAATGACTTGTCTATTTCCTGTTTCTGGAATTGAAAAAATTGCTGAATAATTTGTCCTTTCTTTGTCTCTGACTACGTTTTGGTTTGCGCTTCTATAATTACATTGATTGATGTGGCAGCTTGGAGTTCAGGTGAGACACAGGAGGCGATTGTTATTACTTTAATAGGTAACTAGACTTTCCCGTTAACAACCTTTAGAATTCTTACTTGCTTTTATTACTTGCTTTATTATTGAAACTAAACAACTTTCAGGTTCGTTCTCACTTGGGCTAAAGGTAAGGCAGTTGCCCTCCTTGTATCCTTGTCTGGGTAGGGAGTCCCGGCCGGTCCTTGTTTTTTATATGAAAAAGGAAAAAACGCTTTAAGGAAAAAGTTCAAATGTCGGACTTTCGCTTGTCTACAATATTTTTGTCGACGTAATTGCCACATCGGGGAGGTTTCTTGTGTTGCTAGTAATTTTCCTTCTAGGTGTAAGTGTTTTTTGATTTACTCCTGTAAGTGGTAAAGTTATTAGCCCTGAAATTTTCTTTGGTTTTAATTTTTAGAGTCGATGAACGTTGTTGGTTTTTTTTCAGGAAAACGGCTCAAATTTATTTTTTCCCGGTTTGACTTTTATTTCTTTTTAAGTTCAGTTCAATTTTTAAAATAAAATGGAGGCAAACTCGACTATCGAACCGCAGAAGTGTAAAGGTCACGAAAAACGTGATTGGCTTCTAGCTTCGAAAATGGATTTTAATTTTCAAATTTCCAAGCGAAATAAAAAGGCTACTTATCGATCCAGTTTTCTCAAAGTGGGTTAATTTGATCAAAGTGTCAAAAAGATCAGTTTTAAATTGTTCTTGAAATGCAAAGAGCTTTGAGGGCATCTATTTTTTCAAAGATAAGGTTTTTCAATAAACACGTGGGTTTTTTTATTCTGTTAATTTGCATTCATTGACTTTTTTCCACCTGTCTGTCTCTGTTTTTTTTTGCTGAAAAGCTTTATCGGGTCTAAACGTTTTCGGCTTGTTTTATTGGCTTAGTTACCTAATTTTGTGTCGCTTCATAGGCTATAAATCGTTTTTTTTTGTTTGAAAACCTCAGTAGTTTTGTGTTGCAAGATCTCAAGAGTTTTAAAATTTACTTTCTCAAATCAAGTAAATACTGGTGGTTGTGTTTTTTGACTGCTTTTTGAAAAGTATATTTTTTCCTCCTTATTTTTTCATCGCTCCTTGAAATGCAGCGCTTGTGTTTAATCGCAAGTGACGTGAAGCTCTGCTTTGCTTTTTTTGTGTAAGAATGTTAATTTTTTTGTAAAACTTTTTTGATTCAAATCCTGGTTTGAGCTTTTTGGGTATTTCTGTTACAATAAAATTGATGGATCATTTCTCACTTGAAATGCTTCAATCTTTCGTCTATTTTGTATTTAAATGCGAGTTTCATTATCTCGCCATCTTTAGGATTTTACAACGTAATGCTTTTGCATGTTGAACAGTAGATCTATCAATAGATTTTTGCATATTGAAGCAGTGACTTATCTCGCAATGTTTTTAATGTTTTCATCGTTATATCGCCTTTCGCTGAGCTTATACAATGTTCAAGTGCTCTTTTATTGCTCACAATATAGCATCGTGTTTCTGGAATCCTATGTAGGGCTGCAAAATGAGATTGATCATACGGCACTACCATTTTTTTTCTTCAAATTTCGATGATTTTTTAAAAGTTTTTCATCCATATATCTCTTGTATTTTTCAAAAGCGAGCATCACTATCTTGCCATGTTTAAATCTTATCAACTTAAAATTCCTCTGTGTTTAATGTCTAAGCGTTGCTGTTTGTTAATGAAAATCTGTTAAAGGAAAAAGATTTTCACAGTTTGACCTTTGTTCCGACTTTCGAAGAAAATGACAGCACATTTGTGCTCGTGGTGTTTTTTTCTCCGTTTTCGAAATTTTAAATAGCTATTTTTGACTTTTTTAATTATTCGAATAGTTTTATTGTGCTGAGCTTAAATTAAAAAGATATTTAAAATGTGATCATTATCGTAAAGTTGAGGAATTTTCAAAATAGCCAATGTGACCAGTTTGGGATAATTACGCGCGATAAATTTCATGCTATTTTAGCGTAAGCTGCCAGTTAAATTGTTTCAAAAAGAATTGAGGTCAGCAATTTGCTTTTATTAATCCTTTAGCAGACTCTAAAATATGTCGATGTTTTTTAAATAGCGGGAGGGGGGAGTTGGGATAAAATGAAGAAAAAAATGAAATAAATAGAAGTATTGGCAAAAAAGGTTTTCATTGAATAGCAGTCGGCTCTCGTTTTTTTTCCAGTTTAGTTCATTTCTTTTGTTAAAAGGAAGACAAAGTCCACTATCGAACAGTAAAAAGTTCACGGAAAACGTGATCGACTATAATTTCGAACATGGAGTTTAATTGTCAGATTTCCCTGCAAAATAAAAAACTTCAACTATTGATTCAGTTTTCTCAACTTAGGCTATTTTAGTCAAAAATGCACCATATAAATTGTTCGTGAAATTCAAAGGGCTTCAAGGGCATGATTTTTGGTTCTTTTTACTTATTCCGCACAAGTTTTGCGATTTTGTTGTTTTCAATATATAAATACAAAACAATGCTAGCACTGATTCGTTTGGTTAATACAAATGCGATCGTTTTAATTTAGCCGATTTCTACAAGGCCAAATTTTGAGTAGATGTTAAGCAATTTTTTCCGGTAGCTGTTTTCTGTAGCAAAAAATCAATATTTCAACATCTTAAGCTGAAACTATTTTGCTCCAATTTGATTGGCTAGAGATGTTGAAACATTGATTTTTGGGCGGAATAAGTAAAAAGCCCTATTTTTTTCTTTTAAAATTTGAAAAATAAAGTTTTTTTTTCAAATATCAAGTCCGTTTTTTTTCTGCTTTCTTGCGTAGTATACTTTTCCAACTGTCAGCTGGCTATGCTTATTCATAGTGCTTTCCTTGATTTATGGTGTTTGCTTTCAGGGAAAAATTGCGGGCGATGGTAAAGCTGAGCATTCGTTCAATAGCGATAGCTTTTGATTTCTTTCCAATTTGTATTTATAGGTTGTCTCGCCTTGCTCTTTTGTAAGTTTTGGCCGAGTTTACTTTGTTAGGGGCTGATTGTTCTTACTTGTTTTTTTTTATATATATTTCAGTTTTCTAAGAAATTGGTAAAATTTTCTTGTTTATTTATATTTACTGTTTCTCTGTATTGCAAGTTTTAAGAATCTTTGTTACACCTCGTGTCCAGGCAAAACAGCCACTTAACATCAATCCGCAAAATAGGTATTGTAAGAAACCAATGAAACAGTCGGACTAAGTTAACTTTCCCAAAGTGCTTCAGAGTATGTTAATTTGGTTCTACGTTGGTATTTTCAGCCAATTAGAGTCAAGAGTTTGGCTTCCTTTTAAATAGTAAGGTGGGGAGTCTTTACTTGCTCTATCTAGGTATGTTCGGCCCATGTTGAGAAAAACGCGTTTGAAATTTCAAATTTTGATTATTGTGTCCGGATAATTTAAATAAGCTCTTATCGGATCGCTTATGTTGAACAAACGTCGTTCACATGCTAGAATGGGCTCATGTGAACGTTCTCTCCAACATCGACCAAGTGTACTCAGGGGCGGATCTAGGATTTTCTCGAGTGGGGGGCGGATTTTCAAAAAACTTTCGAAAATTTTTACGACCTTTTTTTTTAGGTCGATCAGATTGATTTTCCGAGCTCTCCCAAAGCAGTAAAAAGAACCTGTTTTGGCCAAATTTTCTGCGCCGCAGGCAATTTTCGAAAAAAAAACAGGTCAAAAAAGCCGTTTTTGGGCACTTTTTGGAAAATTTTGACAAAAAAACGCGTTTTTTTTGGCGCGCGCTCCCCCTCAAAATTAGTATATATTGGCGCCGAAGGCGCCTTAAGAAAAGTATGAGGGTCGGTCGGCCAAAAATGGATTTCTTAAAAAGTACTAAAGGGGGGACCCTTTGGGTTGGCAGGGGTTCGAATCCCTGAGGGGGGGCGTCCGCCCCTGAGTGTACTTTCCCCCTCCCTCAACCAAATAAAAGACGAATTTAACAATTTGCTGGGTAACTAGCCATTTTGACTGAATTTTTTGTATCTTCCGAAAGATAGTGTTGTCTCGAGCTCAAAATTAAAAAGATGATTCACCTATGATCATTTTTCGTGAAGTTGTGGGAGCTCATAGATGGCAAATTTGTGACAATTATCATTTTGCGCTATTTACGCGTAAGTGGAGATATAATCTCTCTTAAAATCGTACAAAACGGTTTTCTCAAAATTGGTATGAGATTCGACAAAAAGTGAACAAAACAAAAAATGCTTAGAATTAATATGGTGCTATTTTTTCCTCGAAAATTTTAATCAAACTTTTAACCCACAAATGGGTCATTTTGGTTTTTAATAATCAAGAAATACGCTGAAACTACCGAGTTAGTTTATGAGAAAGTTATATCAAAAGAAGCATCTTACACAGCCCAGCAAAGTTCTAGAAGGTTAAAACATCCAAAAATTTGCGTACAACTTTTAGAATTTGTTTTCAGCAAATGTTTTGATTTTTATATAGTAGCAATGATCTTTTGTGGCTATCAACCAAAAATATATTTTCCTATACAGATTTTTGGAAATTTTATTTTTCTGGAAAATCGTTAGGCAGAAAAGGTCATTTTACTTTAAAAAATTAAACTCTTTGGCTGAAAACAAATTTCAAACGCTTCACGCGAATTGTCGAAAGTTTTACACTTCTAAAATTTTGTTGTGCTGTGTAAGAGGTTTCTTTTGATATATTTTTCTCATCAATTAACTTGGTAGTTTCAGCGTAATTCTTGATTTTTAAAACAACCAAAATGACCCATGTGTGGGGTAAAAGTTTGGTTAAGAATTTCGAGGAAAATTCTGGTGAAATTTTAAGCAATTTTTGTTCTGTTTTTTTTTGTCTAATCTCAACTTAATTTGAGAAAAACACGTTTGAAAATTCAAATGTTCGTTTTGTCCGGATAGGGACAGAACAACAGTGCGCAAAAAGACAATGTTGTTCAACAGTGCCGAAAGATTTTTTGAAAACTGTTTTTACTGGTCCCAAATCACTGACAAGTAAGTTAAATCAAATCGACGGAAGTTGAAAAGTCAATAATCGCCATTTTAATGGATGCCGCTTGTTAAACAAACAAAAGTTGCCTAAGTTCGGCGTCATACATTTTTGAACAATGAATTAACTCAGCAAAGTGTCAAATTTTCTCGTTTTCGCTCTAAAACAAAACAGTTTTCAAACCAACTTTTCAACTACTAGCAAATAGAATTCAAAATTTTCAAATATCCACAATTTTCGGCACTGTTGAACACATTTTTTGTTTCGGCACTGTTGAACACCCCCCGCCCCGTCCGGATAATTTAAATCAGCACTGTAGTTACTCAACTTAATTTATTTGTATTTCTTTCAAAAATACTGCTATCTGATTGGTTGAAAATTCGCATCGTTCAATTTGCTAAAAACAAAGTGAACTTTCTCATCTAAATCAATTGGGGGGGGGGGGGGGGGGGTTGGGGGTGTGTTGCTCGCATGGTCCGTAGAATGTTAAGAATCTGATAAGACGATCTCTAAAAATTATTTTAATCACTCACTGGATTTGAGGTCGTTTGATTTTTGGCTCCTGTATCAATTTTATTTGTTTTGGTGCATCATCATGCTGCGCAAACAATCCAAATAAGTTATCCGGATCACAAATATATGCATTTGAACATGTCGATTGAGGCATTAATTTGTGTGTCATTCGGTATCATATTATGTGTATTGCGTTTCAGAGGCACTGTGTTGAGTGTTTAAAAAGACGTAAACATGACTACAAAATGCAATTGTACGTTGGCTCAATTTTACCATCAGATACCATTGATTGCTGAGCTTTCAAATCACAGAATTACTATTATTATTTGTGATTACTTCTATCTTGACTGATACCTTAGACTGTAGAGACTTAATCGATTCATAAGTCCGATCAATCAACAAACCTCGCCCTTTCATACATTTAAGCTGAATCTCGCAACTGGCTCCCAAATTCAATTTTGCCTGATTAAATCAAATTCCATATCACCTTATCTATCACCTGTTAGCAAATTTACTCTGAATTTTTGTCATTAAATACTGCGTCTAGATACTTAAGATTCCCCGGTTGAATCTGATTCAAACTGCTAGAAAATCTTATTGCAAATTTGAGCTCGATAATAAACAAATTGTATACTCGGCTGAATCCACTTGAAACCTGGTCAAGTTCGAGTTGGACTCGGAATTGCGGACAAATATCAAAGAATGACCGAAACGTCAGCAACCAGCTTCTCGACTGTTCCCAACTTTACGAAGCTAAACGGCTATGATTTGGGGAATGGACAACGAGGCGCGAGTGTTGTGGGTGTGGATGTGTTGGGTGCATCGGACGTGATCAAAATAGGGAATGTTAGTGGGCGCATTAAGTTCAACATGCTGGCGGACAAGAAGAGACTCATTCAGTTCACGCCCTTTCTAGACTACTCGCAGTTGGAGGAGGGGGCAGAGGTCGAGTTCCCAGCCACTCTTGTCCTCATCAATTCCATCATACACAATCCGTCCCAAAAAAGAAGGTGATTTCAGTCCATTTTCAGTGTATAGTTTCTGTGAAAAACGTCTGATATTATTCTTCGAATTCAGTCATGTTTGAAATGAAAATATGCCATTCCATGATGAGCGCTTGGCAATCCGTCTTAAGATAAAAATCTTTAAACAAATTATTCTTAGTGTGCTACAAGATTTGACGTTTGTCAGGCACTGAAAGACTGAAGTTGATTTCCTCTTAGCTAAATTAAATTATTTGATTTGTTTCAGTGACTTCTGGGTGGTGTATGGTGGCCTCGGAGACCAAATGCTGTGTGTTATCGAAGACGCAGCTATCCAGTCCCAAGATCTGGCTAAATCCAAACCCCATGAGTTCTACTATGTGGGGAGACTAAAAGGAAGAACTATAGTTTACGAGCACAAGGAAAGCTACTACAAGAGTCGCTGCACCAATACTGTCACGGTGCAGAAGAATCAAAACAGGCAATACGAAGTACGTATTGACTCCCGCCAATACCCCCAGCCCCTCCTCCCCTCTTCAATGAAGCAGTGAAACGCCACACGAATTATCTTTTGAATTTGACAAATTTATGATGAAAATCATATTGCATTCATCATGCTGAAGCTGATTTGTTTGCTTTGATTGATAGGAGCTGTTATCAGAAATGCAAAGAATACGGGTGGAATAGTTTGCATTTTGTAAGACATTAAATCATCAATACTACTGTTATTCAATAGATAGCAACATAAAACAGGATGTTATCATAATAGCAAAACTATGTTTCAGAGAAAATAAGTTGAAACTATCGCACCCGATGTGTCTGGGCAAGTTTCCCCAGAAATATGCTCAACATAGAATAAGATTGGAAGGCTTCAATCACACAATTAAAGTTTTTTCTGATATTCACTGTTTCTTTTTGTTTTAGGCTATCAAGAAACCAGCTTCTCTGCTCAAAATCAATAATCGCTATCCGAAAAAGAAGAGCAGCAGTAAAAGTGGAGGTCAAGACGATGATATTTTGAACAGGGAAAAGTGGAACAACAAAGCTCAATATCTCCTATCATGTGTTGCATTTGCCATTGGACTAGGAAATGTTTGGAGATTTCCGTGGCTGGCACAGAAGTATGGTGGGGGTGCTTTCCTAATTGCATACTGTCTGAGTTTCTGCTTTGTCGGTTTGCCAATGTTTGTCCTGGAAGTCTCAATCGGTCAGAGGATGCAGAGAGGTCCTCTGCTGGTCTGGGCGGCAATAAACCCAGCTGCGTGTGGAATCGGAATCGCGTGTATGATAGTGGCGTTTGTGAATTCAGTGTATTACAGTGTGGTCGTTAGTTGGTGCCTGTTTTACTCATTAAAATCTTTCGGATACCCTGCACCTTGGTACGATTGTTCAGACTTGCGAGATAAAGAGGGACCCTTAGCGGAGTGTGAACAATGGGGAGCTGTGAGGTACTTCTGGTACAGAAACACCCTGGATGTTTCCCCGGCTATTGACGAAGGAGTGGGATTCAACATTAAGATCAGTGCGACCTTGGTGTTTGCATGGCTCATCATTTTCCTGTCTCTCAATAAGGGAATCAGAAGGTCGGGCAGACTGTCTTACTTCACAGCTCTCTTCCCTTATTTCGTGATGGCCATCTTTCTCATCAGAGGTAACTAGTGCTGCGATCTTATTCATTGACCTAATCACTATCATGCTAATTTAAAACTCCATCCTGCACCAGCAGCATTATTTAGGCAAAAGCTTGGGCTCCGAAGGCGAATAGATCAGCTCTGACTATCTAAACCTTAATCCCGAATTGTTCCTTTACCAAATTCTAAAAAAATTTCTAGATTTCACTTTGAAATGGTCAACCTTATATTAAAATACGGTTAGTTTTTTTTTAGTTGAGTGGTGTAAGAGTAAACGATGAACGTCGTAAAGAGTCTCATATAGGTCGTGATAAGTTTTTTTTTGTAGGTAAAACCCTAATCGAACAGCGGAAGTGTAAAGGTCACGAAAAACGTGACCCACTTCTAATTTCGAAAATGGAATTTAAGTATCAGATTCCCAGCTCAATAAAATTATTTGGTACCGGTCTACTTACATGCGTGCCATTTAGCATGCAGCTATTGGCGCAAAAAGAACGTTTTTCAAATAAGTCAATGTTGTTTTTGTGTTTTCTTGTGTTTATTGGCTCTTTTCCAATTTTCTGTTGGCTATGTTCGAATAAAAGTCGATGAACGTAGTTCAGATACATATAAAGGTCTCGATGATTTTTTAAAACTTTTTTTATAAAGAAAAGCCTTAAAATTTGTTCAGGCTCAATTTTTTTCGCGGTTTGACTTGTGATTTTATTTTAAGTTCAGTGCATTTCTATTGCTAAAAGTAAGGCAAACTCCACAATCGAACAGTGGAAGTGTAAAGGTCACGAAAAACGTGATCGGCTTCTAGTTTCGAAAATATAAAGTTTTACTTATTGATACAGTTTACTCAAATTGGGTTATCTTTATCAAAATCATAAAACAGCCAATCATAAATTGTTTTAGAATTTTAGAGAGCTTTGACGCCTTACATGCCCAAAATATGATATTAAAAACAAGTCTTGTGCTGAAGTTATTTTTGGGGTTTTTTTCAAAAAACAAGTCAATAGCTTTTTCTGTTTCACTTGCGTTCATTGACTAGTTTCCTACTGTCTGTTGGCTATATTTCGTGACGCTTGTTTTTTTAATACTGACATATAAAAAAAACTACGAAGGTATTTTATATCCAGTTCGTGTGAACGCAAGTACTTTGTGAACTTTTGTGGCCGAGTGAATGAGCAATTCAAATTTGGATTAGTTACGAATCGAATTTCTTTTATAGTTGCGGCGAAGAAATAAGCTTGAGCTCGCGCAGACGTCATTTGCAAGGTTCATTAAGTTTGACTGTGGTATTCAATAGTTTGCATATGTCTTCTAAGCCGTAATTTGTTCACATACAAACTATAGCTGGCTTGTTAGCTAAGACTTGTCATTATCTCATGACTGTGGTAGAATTTTGTTTCAGGGTTTACTCTGGAAGGCTTCGAAAATGGACTTCAGAGGATGTTCTCACCAGACATGTCCAGACTGTGGGATCCCATTCTCTGGTTGGAAGCATCGGCACAGATAGTTTTCTCGCTCTCTGTCGGATTCGGAGGCTACATGGCATTCTCGTCCTACATGCCCCTGGACAACAACTGTTACCGAGATTGCATTCTGATTGGACTCATTAACTGTGCCACGTCAATCATGGTCAGCATTGTGGTGTTCTGTGTTCTTGGATTCCGAGCTACAAAGCAGTACCAAGAATGTCTTCAGCAGAAAGAGCAACTCAATTCTACTCAGGCACCCCAGGAATGTGTACTTAATAACTTCCTGGACAACGCGGCTGAAGGTACTGGAATCGCGTTTATCGCATTTACAGAAGCCATGAATAGTTTCGGATCTATTTCACCGCTGTTTGCGGCTCTGTTTTTCCTTATGTTGGTCACTCTTGGAATCGGATCTATGTTCGGAACCCTACAAGGTATCCTGACTTCGCTCTACGACGTTTTTCTAAAAGGAAACGTGACTCCGAAGATGGTTTCAATTTCGACATGCTTGGCCTGTCTTTCTCTGTCTCAGATTTTCAGTCTCACAAATGGAGAGTACTTCATGCAGATATTTGACAAGTATGCGGTCACTCTACCACTGCTCATCATCACCTTTTTCGAGCTGCTCGCAATCAATTGGTTAGTTTTTAACTAATTCTTTTTGTTGTTAAGATCCAACTCAGCAAAATCGCTATTGGATCTTTCAGATGTGCAGCAAGTTTGAACAATAACTGTTGGAAAAGGTGGAAGTTATTGTCTAGAATTTTTAAGAGCTGATGAACGTAGTTAAGACTCTTATAAAGGTCCTGATGATTTTTTTGTGTTTATTTTGTGCATTCATACATATTAATGCATTTATGAATGCACTTCGGTATATATGCACTTTTTCAGTTCAATTCAAAGTCATCTGCTGAAAGTTACGTAAATAGCACTCTCCGAATACAAACGTGGAAATGGCGTGAAAAAAGGTGATCGATTTCTTATTTCGGAAGTAGAATTTAATTTTAGGTTTGCCAGCGGAATAAAAGCTTTTCCTAATGATCCAGTTTTCTCAAATTGGGTTTTTTTTAATCACAAAGCGCCGAATATAAATTGCTCATGAAATTCAAAGACCTTTAAGGTCACAAGTCATTTTTTTCTCTTTTTGCGTTCCTTGACTCTTTTCCAACTGTCTGATGGCAATGTGTAGTTGTTTAAGTGGCAATTTTGCTGCATAGAACTGGTTTTTCAATAGCCTCTGTGGCTGTTTTATTAGTGGCTAGTGTAAGTATTTTCGAAGCTAGCGTGGCTCTTAGTCTCCAGGTCGAAAATTCTATTCCAGCCCAAGACAAAAGTCTTTTATTTCCAGTTTAAGAGTAATGAACGTAGTGAAGACTCTTATATAGGTCTTGCTGATTTTTTTGTTTTTTTTTTCCAGGAAAAAGTCATAAAAGTCTCCAATAAATACAGATGTGCATTGATAAGTATTAATGCATTTATGAATGCGCTTTTTGAGTTCAATTGAAATTCATCTGCTGAAAGTTACGTAAAAAAAACTCCAAATACAAATGTGGAAATGGCGCAAAAAATTTTGAACAATTTCTAGTTTCGAAAGTGGAATTTATTTCTTACATTTCCAGCGGAATAAAAACTTTACCTATTGGTCCATTTTTTGGAAATTGGTTTAATGTTATCAAAAAAGCGCCAGTCGTGAATCGTTCTAGAAATTCAAAGAGCTTAAAGGACATCTATTGTTTTTCTTTGAAATTCGATAGTTGAGATTTTTTCAACAAGAGTCAGTGTTTTTTTGTTAACTTGCGTTCATTACTTTTTTCCAATCTTCGATTGGCTGTGTTTTATAGTTTGTGGTGTGCAGCTTCGTCTCTGTGTTGAATTAAGGTTCGCTATCTAATTTTTGATTTTTGCACACTTGCAGGTACTGGGGCATCAAGCGAGTGGCAGATGACATCCATCTGATGTGTGGGAGAAGACCCTCGTTCTTTTTCCTGCTCTGTTGGAGATACATCACCCCCACCCTCATGGCCACCCTGTTCCTTGGCAGTGTCATTTCTGTCATCAACGAGGGGGGAGAGACTTATGACAGGTGAATGATGATTGCTGATACAATCTTTTTTTTAAACTTAATTCCGAAACATCTGCGCAAAATCATGTCTAATTCTTATTTTATAAACGATAATAGAAAGCAAATTTCAAAAAAGGTCTCTAGTTGAAACAATGTCAATATTAGAAATATGGAAATGTTAATTTTTGTAACATCTATGGTTCCAACTTAATGTCTTTGCTGTGTGTAGGTGGGACGACAACCTGGGCAAAGTAGTGAAGCACGAGATGCTGCCTCTTTGGGCCCAGTTCCTGTGTGGAATAGTGGCCGCACTGTCCACCCTCTCCATCCCCATAATCCTCATCGGAACAAAGCTGGGATGCTGGAAGATAGAGTTCAACTTTGTGGAGGACGATTTTGTGAGCGAACATGTGTTGAATAAGCTGTGGAATAAGCACAACGTGGAGTTCTATACTCCGAATAGACTGGAGAGGTGGATTCTGCGGATGAAGAAACCATCAGCTGAAGAGAGGTTTTCGGATTCGAGCCTGTACCCGCCTGCTAGACAGGTGTCGACTGCGGATGCGCCACTCGGACGAGAGCTGAAAATGGTGTCGGGGGCTGCAAATGGGGATGCTTATGACAGCATGAACGAACTCACACTTGGTAAGTCGAAAGTATGAGTTGAAGAAATGTATGTAGTTTTTTCACGATTTATTAGTTCAAACCACGAGTTGCAAAAAGTTAATGTTATTTATTAGAGTTTAGTCGGGTGAAGTTTATTGGAAATTATTCAGAAACTTTGAAACTCAAAAGATTTACCGCAACATGCAGATTTGGCAGTGGAATTTGTATTTTTTGAATATGGGTAATTCATAGTTGACTAGGGCGAAAATTATAATTGATCAATTAAACATACCTCGGCTGTCCAACTTACCAAGGTGAATTTACGGTTTTGACTCCTCATCAAATTATTCAAATATGTGTGCTTGTTTTCAACATGAAATCACATATGGGCGAAAAAAAACCTGAGAAAGGAACGCAAAATTTCACGCGCGCTTTATTTTAGGTTCGATCACCAGTGAGATGAACGGATTTCTGACAGAAAATCTATATGGAAAACAAAAGAATGAAAAGCCTCCTCAGGAAGCGATCAAATTGAAGGTGAAAAGACCTTCCCTCGTAGGCGCATTCCAGCCCCCAATTGCTGAGAGCTCCATCCCCTGTTCGTCCAATACGTCATCATCTCCTTCTAGACCTCCGACCTCGAACGCGAAATTAGAACGTCAGGGGTCGTCGGTTGATTACGACAACATGACTTCTTCCTCCAGCAGTGATTTGGCCTTGAATATGAAACCGAAGCCTGGTCAATTGGTGGTTGACATAGAGAAGAACTTTTGACGACTGAAGAAATGTTTATTCACGTGGATAGATACTTATTTAGGACGACTTAGACTTGCTGCACCTTTCGACCTCTTTGTTTTGATTTGAAAAACTGCTTTCGGAGTAGCTTAGCCGAACCGTTTATGTATTCGAGATTTTGTTTCTGTTAATTCTATATTGGCTATTGCTGAGTTAGACTATGATGACAGATAGAACCTGATTATGTTTTTTGTTAAGCTGCATTTTTAGTCAAGTATTTTTGGACTGTATTTATTTTATTGTAAAATTTAGTGAATTTAATTGCAACATTTTTCAGCTTTCTAGCTATCAATTTGTAACGTGGTGGACAGTTTTTACAGTCAGAGGGTTTTCGACGAAATTGAGTCAAAGTGATCCAAGCAAAGTACGGCTAATTTATGCATATAACACAACCGAATTTTTGTCTATTATCAAATACTTAAATTGCTTATTCTCGATTCAGATAAAATTAAATTGAACCTGCGGTTTTGGGATTTGGGTCATATTTGGGATGACAAAGGTTGTAGGTTCAAGCCTGTGCGGGACATCTAAATTTTTGCAAACAATAAATTTTGTGCTTTGATGTTATTTTTCGGGTTATCAGTTGTCTGTTTTTTTTTTAGTCGGCTGCTTTAGTTATCTTAGCTAGAATTGCATTCGATCTCAATCAATCCATAATAATTTAAGACTCCTGGTAGAAATTTTCTGTTGATATGAGCTACTTCAATCAACAGAAAATTAACCCTAAATAACGAATAGTTCAAAAAGAAAGATCGGAGAAAACGAATGTAGTTACCTCTTCAAAATCATATAGAATGGCTAAACAGGTGCTTGGAGTTTTAGCACATCAGTGTGGTGAATATGAATTTATGGAGGAGTATTTTCAATTAGGCAGGGTTTATTTGCTACAAGAACCCGCAAAAAAAGAGCCATACATACGAAATATTTATGCACCCGTTGTTTTCTAATTCAAGACAAAAAAAATATATGCTCAGAATATACACACAAAACAAAAAAAAAGCTGACAAAAGACGTGCGTTTGGTTTCTGCTCCTTGAGTTCTTAAACGTTACGAGTGGTGAGCTTTATCTTTCGCGGTTCCACTTTTGGTTTCTTTTTCAGCAAAATCCAAATTAATTTGCTAAAAGAAACGCAAAAAACGCTCCTCGATTACGAAAGTAAACGTGGCGCAAAAAAACTTAAAAGACTTCTAGTTGATTCACTTTTGATGCAGACTTCTCAATTTTGTTTATTTTTATTCAAAAAAGTCAGTCATAAAATCGAGCCAACAATAGGAACGCTAATAAACAAAAACATCGGTTGTACATGAAAACTAAAAGCTAAGTTAAACTGGGGATTGAAGCGGTGTCAAGTAGGTTCTATTTTTGAATCAGTCGCCAACTGATTCGTCAAATTATCAACGTTTTTGTCTTGCATTTTTTCATGACTTCCACGATCATCGTGAAATTCCTGACTGTTAACTCCTTCCACGAGATTTTCCTGGCGTTCACCTTCATCTTGATTTTCCTGGCCTGAATTTCCAAATTTGCGGATGTCATGCCGTTGAACTCCTGCGGTTTGACTTTTCTGGATGATCAACATCTCTTGGCTCATTTCTTGTTCAGCGCCTTCATTTGTATTGGGTGGGTTTATCGGTCCAAAACTTTTCGCAGAATATCTAAAAACACCATTGAAAGACGAATTGAACTGTTGTTGTTGTTAGCCCACGCGGGTCGGGTTGGGCTCTTCTGTCTCCAGGTCAAGGAACTTAGCAACCTCTACCGGCCGAAGCCACAGGTCTGCTGGGGTGAGTGGGAAGGGGTTTTGGGAGCAGTTGAAAAGGTGACATGTTGTGTGGGGGGCAAGGGAACAGGTTGGGCAAAGGTGGGAGATGGAGCTGTCGAGGCGGGATAGGTAAGTGTTAAGGAGCCGGCTGTACCCAGACCGGAGTTGGGAGAGCTTACAGCGCGTGGGACGTGGGAGAGATTTTTCAGAGGGGTCAATCTTTGGGGGAGGGATACAAATAACTTTAGACGGAGGGGTTTCGGCTAGGAACTTGGTTACAAGGGAGGTATGGTTGTCTTTTAAAATTGGTTGAACTCACATCTTAATAAACAAAACTCTCAGTCGTTTTGAGAAGCAAAATCAAAATTAATTTTTAAGGGTTACCAACCACTATTCGAGAGGGAAGAAGGCGTGGAAGAAGATGTAGAGGGCGATTCGGATGAAAGGGTGGGAGTGAAGCTCGGTAGGATTTTCCATTCGGCCACTCGTCTTTTTGGCACCACAGGTCTGTCATCGTACGATGAGGATGAATTTGGTTCAGGGATTGAAAAGCCACTGGCTTGACATTTTCGGTTTTCATTGCCTCTTTTGGCATCTATTCGTCCCTGTATTTGGCTTTCTGACGAGTGGAAGGAGCCATCGGCAAGTACTTGTCAGTTTTCTCTCTCAAAAATAGACCTAACCAATGGGGAGTTTGCGGGTGTTGAGGGTCTGTATACAGAAGAACAAAACCAATCATTGTTCTATGCCACCTGGCAAGATTTTTCTCAACTCTCAAAACTCGTCGGGAAAAGCCCTGTCCCGAAAATTCACTAAAACGCCATTTTTCTGGAAACCGGGCATTACTGCTGTTAGACCTTCCCAGCTCCTGCTTTGCGATAAGATCCTCGAACGCTCGAAGTAATCGGAATTCGACGTGTTCGAAAGCCTCGCGAATGAAATTTGCGTAGAACTGAGATCAAGGTAAAATGAATTTTGCATTAATTAGATCAATCGTTAAAAGTACACAGAAAAGACACCGTCTCGAGTCTAAGTGCATGTTAGGAATCTGCCAGATTCTAACTTTCTCGGAGCAAACAGTGGTTAACAAAATTGAACTCTTACCTGAGTCACTAATGTTTGCAATAAGGCGGGGGAAGGGGTATTTGCAAAAAGGAGGGAGAGCTGGGGTATTTGCAATGAGGCATCAAGGTCCAATTGGTTAATATGATCCAATTTTCAACTCTCAATTTAAACAGAAAAAGTGTCTCTAAATTCCCAATTAAGGAAGAGTAGCAAAAATAAGTCACCACACCAGATTTTCAAAGTTTTTGGTTTATCTTTTATCAAGGCGTGCATTTTGACAGAAAAAAAAGAATCAGCGGCCTTTGCAATGGAACTTTGCATACAATTAGCGGATTTATATTCATTTTCAAATCAGCCTCAAATAATGACTAATTCAAAAAGTAATATCGGAGAAAACGAATGTAGTTTCCTCGTTAAAATCATATAGAATTGGTAATAAGGTGCTAGGAGTTTTAGCAGACCAATATGGTGAATATGAATTTATGGGGGTATTTGTATTAAGGCAGCGGGGTCATTGCAATAAGGACACCGGAAAATAGTCATACATAAGAAATATTAATGCACTCATTATTTTCTAATTTTCCACAAAGAAATAATATATGCTGAAAATATACGAACTAAAGACAAAAAAATAGTTGCGCGCAAAAGCTGACAAAAGTAACAGCGCGCGTTTGCTTTCTGATGTTTGAGTGTACAATTGAAATAAAGTTAGTTAAGCCGACAGATCGATTTCTGGAACGTTATGAGTGGTAAGCTGTTAAACATGGCGCCGTTTAAAGAATTGAAAACGACTTACAGTTAAATCTAAGATGTAAGCTAACCTTCTAAAATGTCTTTTATTTTTTTTTTATTTCCGTTGGAGTAATTGCCTATTGATCCTGTTTTCTCAAACAAAGTGACCTCGACTTTCGATGAGCGAAAAAAAATCGCGCCTAATTCTACTTTTGGTTTCTTTTTCAGTTCAATTCAAATTAATTTGCTGAAAGAAACGCAAATTACGCTCCTCGATTACGAAAGTGGGATTGACATTTTCGGTTTTCATTGCCTCTTTTGGCATCTATTCGTCCCTGGTATTTGGCTTTCTGACGAGTGGAAGGAGTCATCGGCAAGTCTTTGTCAGTTTTGTCTCTCAAAGATAGACCTAACCAATGGGGAGTTTGCGGAGGTTGAGGTTCTGTATACAGAAGAACAAAACCAATCATTGTTCTATGCCACCTGGCAAAATTTTTCTCAACTCTCAAAATTCATCGGGAAAAACCCTGTCCCGAAAGTTCACTTAAACGCCATTTTTCTGGAAACCGGGCGTTACCGCTGTTAGACTTTCCCAGCTCCTGCTTTGCGATAAGATCCTCGAACGCTCGAAGTAATCGGAATTCGACTTGTTCGAAAGCCTCGTCGATGAAATTTGCGTAGAACTGAGATCAAGGTAAAATGAATTTTGCATTAATTAGATCAATCGTTAAAAGTACACAGAAAAGACACCGTCTCGAGTCTAAGTTCCTGTTTGGAATCTGCCAGTTTCAAACTTTCTCGGAGCAAACTGCGGTTAACAAAATTGACCTTGAATCTGATCATTTCAGAAATAGCTACCGCCCCAAAGGAAAAAAACGCGATAAAGCGGGGAAGGGGTATTTGCAATAAGGCGGGGAGGTTGTATTTGCAATAAGGCTGCCAAGTTCAATTAGGCAGCGGTTTATTTGCAACAAGTACGCGCAAAAAAGAGCCATACATACGAAAAATTTATGCACCCGTTGTTTTCTAATTCAAGACAAAAAAATGTATGCTCAGAATATACTCACAAAACAAAAAAAAAGCTGACAAAAGACGTGCGTTTAGTTTCTGCTCGTTGAGTTCTTAAACGTTACGAGTGGTGAGCTTTATCTTTCCCGGTTCGCCAAGTTTTATCTTTCACGGTTCGACTTTGGGTTTCTTTTTCAGCAAAATCCAAATTATTTTGCCAAAAGAAACGCACAAAACGCTCCTCGATTACGAAAGTAAACATGGCGCAAAAAATCTTCAAAGACTTCTAGTTGATTCACTTTTGATGCAGACTTCTCAAATTTGATTATTTTTATTCAAAAAAGTCAGTCATAAAATCGAGCCAACAATAGGAACGCTTATAAACAAAAACATCGATTGTACATGAAAACTAAAAGCTAAGTTAAACTGGGGATTGAAGCTCTAGCAAGGGAGGTTCTGTTTTTGAATTAGTCACCAACTGATTCGTCAAATTATCAACGTTTTTGTCTTGCATTTTTTCATGACTTCCACGATCATCGTGAAATTCCTGACTGTTAACTCCTTCCTCGAGATTTTCCTGGCGTTCACCTTCATCTTGATTTTCCTGGCCTGAATTTTCAAAATTGCGGATGTCAAGCCGTTAAACTCCTGCGGCTTGACTTTTCTGGATGATCAACATCTCTTGGCTCATTTC